TAGTAGTAGAATTAAGGACCAAAGGATAAAAAACTTTCAATATCATTCTCTCAGGATCTAGTAGCTTATCTACTGCATAGCACCTTTTACTAAAATATGTTCACTATATAAACTAAATCATACAATTGGTAATCAAGCAGTAACATCTGTGCTAGCCCAAAAGGTATTTGAAAAGCTAAAAGCTTGCTGATTGCTGCTTATTCACACATATTCAGTTTTATATGGTATTATATGAAGTCTTTAGTTAGCCACCTTTTCAATGCTACACATAATTTATTTCTTGAATCATGATGTTGCTGACTTTACTCTTTCATAGGACCAATTAGTCTTCAAGTAGCCATAGTGTGTCCTTATGCATTCTTTTTTACATTGCACTTCCTTTTGACTCTACATAGAGGAATGTGGATTAGTGGCAGTGTCAATAGAAATGAGGGACCCCATAGTTGGGAAAGCATAGGCAATTATTTGTAAACATTATTTGCAAGGTCAATGAGCATTTTTCTGTGTTCCAAGTATCTTTAAAATTGTTTTGAAGTTGTATGTCTGTTAACATATAAAATGATTGCCATAGTTCCATAATGTAAAAACCACATTTTATGCTATTGTAAAGATTATGTCTTTGGTATGGCAGCCAGGCCAAAAAAATAATAAAATAAAATAAATCCTTTAGGCAGACTAATACTCAGTGGGTGAATTGGTTTTAAGAATATAGAATGTGTCCTAAATGGTACATTCATGCTTTGCATTTAACAAAGAGGGGAGAATTTAGAAGGTACTAGGCTGCAAAAAAATGATTCCAATCCAGTTCAAGAAACTCCAAGTTTAGAAACATCCTTAAATGGAAATCAAAGAAGTAGGGGTTTTTATGATTTTTTTCCATCAGCGAGGACCTAATACTTGTGATTGGGAAGGCTCAAGCGCATGCAATGAAGCGGTTGGATGAGTCTCTGTTCCCCATATAGTTAGCTGGTCAAGATTTATACATTGAACACACTAAGGCCCAAACAATGTTTTGTGCTTAAACACTGTTTAGAAGACATGAAAATCAATGAGTTGCTGCTCTTCCGGTTTCCAGAGCATGTTTGCACACTGGCCGGCTGGTCTTTGCATCCATATGTGTGCCAGAAACTGGAAGACCAGATGGCATGCCAGAAACCGGAAGATCTCTTCCCAGTGTGGACATGTGCACCGGGTGGCTTCTGTTCTGGTTTCCGGCACATGTGCATGTGCACATGCTCCCATTTTGGCACTTGGTGCCAAAAAGGTTCCCCAACACTGGTCTAGTTGCTAATGTTCCATGCATACACAAAAAAATGAAAGCTGCAAAGAGAGTATTAAAATAGAAACATGAAAATATAAGAAACATGAACAAGGGAACACTCTGGGCAACGGAGAATGAAATAATTGACTACACATTGACATCATTGGCATCAACCTATTGAAATGGACTGGAATTGATCAAAAGATCATACTATTTTCAATTCTGGACACAAAAAACAAAGGAAGAATAACTTGCTTTGGTAGTCAAGAAGTATGTAGCAAGAATAGTAGCTGAATACAATGGAATCAGTGATTAAATAATGTCAGGTACACATTACAATCCATTACCATTATGACTATCCATGTTTATGCTCTAACCAACCAATATATCAACAGAATGTAGCTGGACACTGAAATTCAAAAATTGGAAACATTGAGGAAAACATATTTGTACATACAGGTAATCCTCAATTTATGACCACAATTGGGATCAGAATTCCTGTTGCTAAGCAAGGAGGTTGTTAAATGAGTTACACCCACTTTTATGACCTTCTTGCCAAGGTCATTAAGCAAATCCCTGCAGGTAAATAGATCATGCAATCCAGCCTCCCACATTGACTTTGCTTGTCAAGAGCAACTGGGAAGATCACAAATGGCAATCACATGACTCTGGGAAAAGGTAACTGTTTTAGATACATGCTGGTTACCAAGTATCCAAAGTTTGGTCATGTGATTGTGGGGATGCTGTAACAGCTGTAAGTGTAAGGACTGGATATAACTCACTTTTTTTCTATGTCATTGTAACTTTGAACAGTCACTAAGCTAATGGTTGTAAGTTGAGGACTATGTGTATAGTTTAATAAATAAAAATGAAGCTTATGAATTCCTGCAACTCCAAATATTTTTTCATTGTTAATACAACTTACCAAAAATAAAAATGAGATCATTACAAGCTGGGAGGCTACAGGAACTGATGGAGTGTCTATAGAAATATGGCAGACATGAGAGGTAGAATCCCTAAAAGGGCTAATCATACTATACTAGCAAATCTGGAGACTGACACACTGAACAATTGACATGTCAGTACCAAAAAAGTATTAAATAATATTTAAACTATTGTACCTTAATTTCACAACCTATCAAAATAATGATTAGGATTATCCATAGATTAGAGCTCTATATGGAAAAGAAGATGTTCAAAGTCGGTTTTAAAAAGGCCAAAATACAAGAGACATTATTGCTGATTATTAACTGCAAAAGCCAAAGAATGCCAAAAAAATAAATTAACATATATTTTAATTGATTATAGAAGAACTTAAGTTGTGCCAACTATAGGAATCCTATTCAAACAAATTGCAAATTCTTGTAACAAAAATCAAGGATCACAATGGAAAAATGGTATAGGGAAGACTAAACTACTGACCTAATAGTTTGGCACAGGTCCACAACTGACAATAAAGCTAATAGGGTGATGGAAATTTCTGCTTTTTACGATCAACAATCAACGATGGAGGCATCAGTAATCAGGAACTACATTCCAGAATAGCAATTGGCAGAGAAGTAAGGAAAGCTTTGGAAAATATATTCATATGTTGTGATATATCTATACTGCAGAGACCAAAAGTGTGCAGGCATTAATTTTTCTGTAATAGAAGCTAAACTTGGACTTTAAAGAAAAAGGATAAGAAGAGTATGGATGCTTTTGAATTTGATGTTGGAGAGAACTGCTAAGAATTGATGATGATGATGATGATGATGATGATGATGATGATGATGATGATGATGATGATGATGGATCAAGTCAGTGCTTATCATTATTGATAAGGTAAGTAGATGTTATCCAACCTGCTCCTTCAAATCTTCCAATAGCACATCCATTATCACTGTAATTGAGTCCATTTTATGGCTGATCCATTAGTTGCTTTTCTTGGTTATTCATGTCACTGTAGGTTTTATGATATTACATATTTATGATGGAGGATAGGTAGGTTAAATTAGATTTTTCCCCTCATTTATTCTGATTGGTGGGATTGGTTTCTTTATTTTGTTCAACAATTTTATTGTAGAGGTACAGTGGGGTAGATTCCGTCCTCTACGTTCTAATTTACATTTGTTTATTTATACTATGAGTTACACCTACATTGATTTAATTCTTTTAGGTTTGATTAGTTCAAAGAATTTTTTTTACTTAGCTCTTATGTAGCTTCAAACTTTTAATGGATTAGACAAATAATGCAGATAAGCCTTTTAATGGCTATTAGCATGGTAGCTAAATTAAACCTTCATGTTCAGACTCAATATTCTTGAGAAAGCCAGATGCAGGGATCAGCATGGTTCATCTGGTCAGCCATAGCAATAAATTTATTATGGTCTCATCCAGGCATTTCTTTTATTCTTATGATATTATAGTACTAATATTTAATCTTCAAGCTTTATCCAAATTTAAAATAAAAGCATTTTTCCATATTAAGTTAATTCAAAGGCATATTTAGCCAAGTATATTGTGCATGATGTAATCTAATTGATGTAACCACATGATGTAATTCTCATAGTAAGTGAAATATAATGGGAGCAGATGCTAAAGTGAAATGTTGGTGATGGAAATGTAGAAATGCAAACATTTATGTATATGACTTTAGAAAACATTGTTCTGTCATCATTGCAATTAAGACAGTTCTATTTCAAAGACTTATGTTGTTGACAAGTGCCTCCATATCAGCATTTTGTAACCTAACTGATGACAAAAGCTGCCTGAAATTAATTTAACTTGCACTTTGGGACGGCTTCAGATGCCCCTGCAGGAAATCACTCTAGTTCAGCTAAGCCCGAGATTCAATTCTTTATAGGTATGCTTTAATTTGCAGACTATTAATTGCCCTCAGTGTACATTTATTAGAGATAATGTCCATTTGCATCATGAGATTGTTTTAAAATAAATATTATTATTTTCCGTACATAATTTTAGCAGATATTCACATTCTTAACAATGTTAGAATTTGGGATATTACAAGACAAGATTTGGCAGAGAGCCATTCTTTTCATTCCATCTGGACATGATAAGAACTGCTAAAATTGATGTCTGAATTTGCTTTTTTCCCTTCCATCAGTCTCCTTTTCCTTTCTGTGATATGCAAGCCTGTGAATGGGAGTTGTCAGATTTACATTTATCACAGTTCATACGTGTTTATTTTTAAGCTAGGGATGGGCTAAATGCCATCAATAAATAAACAAAAAATTAGAAAGTTCATATAGAAGAGTCAGATTCTCTGTTTATTATAATGTTTACTAATGTAAAGATTTAAGACACTGTGAGAAGAGATGATGCTCAATGTAACCAGAAAACAACCCCCCCCCAAAAAAAAACCCCAACCCCTGCTACTTGCTGATTCAATAAAAGATGAGGGATTTCAATATAACCATCAGAGCAAAATTCTTCCTTGCCATAATAGTTCCAATGTTAAACCTGGTTTAGCTTTTAGTTTTAGTTAAACTCTGATTACCTCATTTTAGTTAAACTCTGGTTACTCTGCCATAGCTATAACATATAACAGCTGTAAGTTCTTAATTGTGGTACAGGAAATCACACTTTCTTTCTTTCTTAAAAAGGGTGTGGAGTGAAATTGTGATTTAAACAAACCAAAGAACTGACAATGTAACACCAAAATGTCTCTCTCAGTGAATTCACTGAAAATTAAACAGGCAAAATGTGGCATATAAAACAACTCTTAAACCAACCATACCTGTTGTTATATATTCCAAAAAAATACTTGATACTTGAATTTCTTGTCTTCAAAAATATCTGTTTTCTGGGGAAAACAATAAATTAAGACAAAAAAGTTAGAAGATGTAATTAAATTCTGTATATCTGGTATTTCAGAATGATATTTTCCTTTTCAGATTGTCCCTGTAAAATGCGGTGACTAGCACAGCGAAGCAGGAGGCATTCAGCACCAAATGAATGCATCACTCTCTGACCAGCCCTGAAACAGACAAGTCCATACAGTTTTCCTCAAGTGGGTAAATGTTAAGAGAGAATAATCCAAGTTTCATGATGCAGCAGGACAAAGCTGGGTAGTGAAAATTATGTTGCAGTAGAGTCTTGAAAATATGACTGTAAAAGTTAATCAATAAAATGTCTATTCCTGTCTATTCACTAGAGGCCCCAGCTGCATAGCTTCACACAATCGATACTACAAATTATTACGATTTCCAGGTTCCCACTGGACATTCTGAACAAATCTTTCAAGTGTAACAGGCTTACATCGTGGGTTGTTGTAGCCTGGCTTCCTTCCTCTGCACTCCCTGCACTTCAAATTTTCGGTGTAGTTCATCAGAAAAAGTGGCAAATTAAATATCTTAAAGCCTCTGAACTTTGTGCAGCTGCTAAATTCTGGATTATTCTTGCTTTCATTTGTGTTTCCTTGACTTTTTCTTCCAATACTATTTGTACTCATATTAGACAGCCATAATGAGGTAATCATGGAGGAGATAACTTCACATTTTATTTTGTACATGTGCAAACATGTCCCAGTTTTGAAATCCTGAACAACTGAAAAAAGGCCATAGAGCTATCTGATTATCAACCTACATTTTTCATTCCTTCATTTCCTGAAGTTTTAACTTCCCTACATCTGCACATTTTTTCAACCTTTTAGCAATGTTTACCACGCTGACAGACTTCTCTTTGTGTTCTCCTGCCTTAGGAGAATGATTGCTTCAATATTGCTACTACAGCCCCAAACCTACTGTATTAGGTCCTGCTGGAGTATCATACAGATATACACAAGGAACATCTCTATTTTTTCCTTTACCTCCTAGCTTCTCTAGCCTATTTTTGAATTTTGCTCCTCAAGAGTGAGAAACTGTTTCCACTCTTAATCATTTATTATGGAATTGTTTCCCATTTAAGGGGTTCCAATCTTGCTAGAAATATTATCACTGTCCAGAGGTGGATTCCTCCTGGTTCAGCCAAATAGGTAGTAACTCAGCTGTGCACGCGCCCAAACCGGTTCTATCACTGGTGCCGTAGACACCGCCATCTTGTTTTTTGCTTCTGTGCATGCACAGAAGCATTTTTTTACTTCTGGGCATGTGTGCGCCTGAAGCACGTCCCTGAGCAAACTGGCAGTAAAAGAATCCGGAACCCACCGCTGTCACTGTCCATTTGGTAGTTGCATCTGTTTATCATCTCACTGTGTTAATGTGGTCAGCTGGTCCTCTTTAGGAGATAGAGGGACCAGCCTATTTGCAGTCTCTGTCACTTCCCCGTTGTTTATTTATAAACCTGCTCCATCTTGTTTCAACACGCAACTGTGTTGTTGTTGGTTTTTTAAAAATATGCTTTCACAATATTTGCATTTAAACTTGATATGCAATTTTATCTTGAAGTGCAGGCAAATGTTTTATTCTAAATATGTCTTTTTATGCATGTTTTGCTGTTTGTTTTACCTTGGTAGCATATCAGAATATTTGAAAAAGTGTAAAAATCCAAGGAGAACAACATCCTAATCTTTGTATTAGTCTCAGAAGTGTAAACCAGGTTGGTTTGCTTCGAAGTTCAGATCAAACAAAATCCTTGTGCATTTCTATTTTGTAGCAATCAATCAAGTAGTGAAGCCAATGTTATCACAGCCATTGCAATTGCACATAAACATGGGATAGAGATACGATAGTACACATTTTTGCTTTGTGGCCAGGTGAAATAGAGAAATGATTTTCCATCTGGGTAGAAGTATAGTTCCCTGTCAATTCAAATGAAATTTAACATGAATCAGCATCTAACAAAAATGTGTGGAAAGTTTAAAATTCTTTTCAGCATTTAGGAAAATAGTTTTAATGGCCAGCTTATCAGCTAATTTATCGGGTACCTTGGAAACTTTATCTATTTTTAATTTTAATTATGGTAATCTGCCACATTAATATTACTAATAAAAGAATATAGAATAGAATAAAATAGAATAGAACTCTTTATTGGCCAAGTGTGATTGGACACACAAGGAATTTGTTTTTGGTGCACATCCTCTCAGTGTCCATAAAACAAGATACATTCGTCAAGAATCATAAGATACAACACTTAATGATGGTCATAGGATACAAATAAGCAATCAGGAAACAATCAATATCAATATAAATCGTAAATATACAAGTAACAAAGTTACAGTCCTGCAGTCATAAGTGGGAAGAGATGGATGATAGGAATGATGAGAAGACTAATAGTAATAGCAATGTAGCCATTTATAAAGTCTTTGCAGAGTTAAAATGTTACATTAATAGAGCGGTACTTTGGTACTCAATTGCTTTCAAACTCATTGAATTTGGTACTCAATGTATTTTGACATGAAAATTTTGTCCCGGTACTCATCATTTGTTTGGTACTTCCTTATGACTCACTACATTATTCCTTTTGGGAAAAAACTGTTTCATACTCATCATTTTTAGTACTCATTGTGTCTCCTGGAACCAATTAACAATAAGTATCGAGGTACCACTACAATTCTATCTGAAGAGAATGCTTGCAAATTTATAAAATAAACATGTAACATGCTAGCTAATATTTAATAATCTTTTAGATATTTTATTTCAAAATTGTTTTGACTATCATGGTTCAATATTAAAAGCACCTTCTTAACTACATGTGGTTTTGACCATATTTCTACCTTACATAACACAATTATTCATTGTTCTTAAAAATCTAAAAGTCGTTTTTACTGCTTGCTCATTATACTAACCTGCATTATGCAGCTTTAGTAATCATGTTTAAGACGTCTTGCTCTCCTCTTAACTTTTGTTTCACAAATAAAGCACAATCCTCATAAAGGGACTGAAAATGTTGCAAAAAGGAACTATAACATAACTTGTATAGCAGTACCAAATTGAAATGTTTATGCAAAATGATGTGAAATACTGTTGGATACTTCTCCAGAAATATGCAACTATCCCTAAATTTTATTCTCTATAATGAAGATAACAGTTCTGTTTCATTACTGTCAAAAACAGCACTATTTTCCAAATTATGACATTATGAAGATATGATGCCTTAATTTCACTTTATATTTATATGAGGAGTCTCATTCAAGATCTATTGCGACAAAGACTTTTGTCAGGGAGACTTTTAGGACACAAAATAACTCAACCACCTCCATGTGCTTGGGAATTCATTCTTATTTGGTCCTCCTTATGTCTCCATCTATCCTTTCAGCAATTCCTACTGGCTGGACAAACTGCAGCCCTAGGACTTCACATAACACTTCACATATTTTATTGTCTTCCATGCATCCATTAGCCCACACTACCAACTTTTGGCAACACAGTTATTCTAAATCAGCAATGCTGTTTGATGAAGAAAATAAAAATAATAAGCAGTAGTTATTAGTAGTTTAACACAAGAAAAGAAAAAGGATAGTGCTTCATAGAAAAAAGTAAAAACTTAGAAAGTTCTTGCTCCAGTAATTTTATAGGATAGAATCTTAAACTTTTGTTCTTTCCTTCACAGCATTACAAACTGTTTCCCTCACAGCATTACAAACAGCTCCCAGTCACTGAAAGATTGATCATGCATAATCTGTATCTATCAGCCTTGTGAAGTTAACTAAATAGAGCTTTTTATATAGTGGCTTGCACCCTCTGAAATACCCTGCCAAATGATTTTTTCCAGAAAGCTTGTAACAACAGGTGCTGTTCATGTGAATGTTGTCCCGACTTTTTTGCTATTCCCTGATATGGGGGTGAAAGGACACAAAATGGTAATATTTGTGAGTATTGGTGTCTATGAGAGAGAGAATTTAACAGTTTTTGTCTATTTTCTACAATTTATATATTACATTATAAACATGTCTTAGTCCTTCTCACAGTCATCTTGGGAGAATCCTAGGGACAGCCTGTACTCATCCTTGTATCTCATAGGTTCTAGTTTATATAAATGCAATCTTACCATTATATTTACAATTTTAAGTGATGGAAGTATGGTTAAATAATTTATTTTCCTTTTTAAAAACTTGTTTATGTTTTATTTTATGCTTTTTTTTCTGCCTGATGATAGATTCTTGGTTATATGCCAGTACTATTTATATTACTATCAAAACGTCCTGCTTGGGAACCTATTTTGCTATGATTAGCTTGTTCTTTGAGGTTCCAGGTAAATGAATCAGTTTGCTTGGCATTTTATAATTTCAATGAATGAAACTGTTTCAATCAAATATGGGGGCATACAACTGGGATCCTAAGGATATTTGATGGCCTTACCTGATACATTCTGTGCAATAACTTTAATACTATTGTGACTTGATCCAGTGTAATCAGAGGTGTTTATCCTAGGGAAATATTTCACTTCTTACCACAAGTTTTAGATTAGTAAACTTTGTTGTCATCAAAGTATCAGTGGTATCTTAGAACTTTCGCAGATCACATTTGCTTTATAAGAATGCAAACAATCCTTGAGCTGCTTAAACTGGAGGCACAATATAACAAGCTTGACCAAAAGAATGCATTATTCAGAGTATTTAATGTTAGAATGTAGAAGAGAGAAACACATTCTGCTGAAATGCATACCTTTCATAAGTCATATAAAAACTGCATCCTGAATCATAAACATAGCTTTTTTCATAAACATTTACAAATGTTTAAAAGTCTAAAAGTTTAAAGTTTTCTTAAAGAAAAAAATGAAAACGTAGAAATTGAGTTCATTTTAGCAACTTCATATGTTACTCGTTATTCTGACTAGAAGCTCGAACTCTTAAGTTTGCTTTAATTTGGGAGCGTCTTGCTTTGAGGCAGCTTCTTGAACGAAAAAAGACAGAGAATAGGAGCCATATGTAACCTTCAGACCCCAAAAGAAAGAAGATGATGAGAATGCCATTGGCACACAGACAATAAAAAACACTATTTCCCCTCCACACCAGATTTTCACATTTTCTAGAGGTGGGGAGAAATATCAAACGGTTGCTAGTTAATATCCAGTTGGGTAGGAAAAAAATGGAAAGCTCTTTTTGAATGGAGTATCAGTTACTTACATTTAATCAATATATTAGTCAATTGCATTAACAAAACACATCACCTGATCAAAACAAACCCTAAACACAGAACTAAAAGAATTAATGCTGACTTCTGGCTAGTCTGCAAGTCTTTTTGTAACATCAAAACAAACAGCAACTCACTTGTAATCACTAATTCTTCGTGAGAATCTATAATGCATTTTCTTAGAGGCTTCAGCATTCTCTGTCTCTGCCATTTCCTACTGCTCTGGGAAACTCTCTCTGCTCTCTGCTTGCTTAGCTGCCCTTGACTTGCTTTCAAGCTGGATTCCATTAGAAGTTTTTCATCCAGGCTGGCAAATTCTTGGGCTGGAAGATAATAAAAAGCAAGGCAGTTTCCAAAGAAGCCAATGATAGGCTTTTTTGTTTGTTTATTTCTTTGTTTAATCGTAGTTAATTCAATGAAACTGGATCTAAATTTATATTTCATAGGTTTAAGTAAACCCATTATGTTTTCCAGTTATTAACAGACATAACATATTTTAAAATGATTTTTAGAAGCCCAAATTTTTATTTTAAAATTGATATACCAGTCATACTCTTGTTTGAATCAAGAAATTCAATTAAATTCAGGGATAGTAATTATCAGGTAAATATTTGTAGGATTTTAGCTTTAATAGTTTAAAAGTAGCTGACTGCTTCCAAATTCATTTTCCATGCAAACATACAATTTCTGGATTCATATTTCTTTAAAGCAGACATGATTTGTTTGATTTCAAAAAATACCTTTCTATGTTTGCATTCTATGCCTTGTAAATAATTAAGGCAGAAACTGGAAACTTCTGGGTCACTATTCCCCCCCCCCCCATTATGTAGAGTACCCCATAGTGTAAACAAATTCTCTTCCAAGGTCATCCAATAGATGGCACTCTTTCATTAGAGCAAAGAATCTGGAGCTGTGTGTTTCAAGCTATCTCAGAAAAAAATAAGCAATTTAAGACAAAGACATTTTTCCTTTGTTCTTTTGTTGACCACATTTTAAGAAATATATACATACATAGGTGTATATTTAAATGTTTGTCCCTTAGCAGAGATATACAGATGACTCGTTTGGTGTTGATGCTGTTATTTTTACAAAAAAGCTTTTTTTAAAAAAAAAATACAGCCTCAGATATACAAATGTTTATTGAGTTATGTAGTTCAAGTTTAATGAGGTACAGAATTACATTTCAGAATAAACATGCATCAATGAAGAATGGTTTATTTTCAAAAGTGAAGCCTATTAGTAAAGGTTGTGCAAATAATACAAATCCTAAAAAGAAAGGAAATGCTGAAGCACCTTGTAGAAAAAGCATCAAAGCCAAAATTAAGAAGGTCACATTTTATATATAGTAAAGTTTATCAAATATTACCCTTTTAATAATCCTATTTTATTCTGGCAGAATAATGTGTAAATTAGGCTTCAATTAATTCAGGAAAAAAAGAGACAGGAATCATATAAAACCAGTATTGTCATAGCAAAAAAAATGTGCTACTTTTTATAAATATCTTACATATTATAAAACAATTGTAATCATCTGATGAGTTGACTATAAATTAAACTATTTAGTCAAGAATTAGGAATATTGGAACAATCAAACCTGGGTTTCCTCTTCAATAAAAATACAGTTCTAAAAGCATCTATGCTGTAACAATTATATTCAAGAAACATCTAAAATGAATATATTATATATGTTTAGAGGTGATATTATATTAAATGCAGCACTAGAGAGCAGTCCTAATGAAAATATCAATGTATTTAGATTAGAAAGCTGATGTTTTCCAGGCTGCAGTAGAAAATTGCGAAGAAAGATTCACAGCAATTATTAATTTTTTAAAAATGCAACACAAATATCAAGAAGGAAAGAAGAAGGGAGAAAACTCTTTTAGCATAAAAAAATGCAAGCAAACCAGAAGGCAGATGCCTACCCTCATACAAAGAAAGCTAGATACTTGAAAAAAAAACCTAAATGATTTCTTGTTTATCCTGAAACTCTGGTCTTGGCATTAGGACTATTCCATGTCATAAAATACTGTATTTACATATTTCAGGCTAGTTTGAAGATGGCCTTTTGGGAGGGTGGGGTGGCAAAATGTAACTGTTCAAGTAATTAAAATTATAAATGCAGGAACACTGCTGCTAATCTTTATAACTCCCAAATGCAGGTGGCTTTAGAAACAATTCCATTTCTTAAAAGTAGCGAATTCTGACTTGCTGGTCTGAGATAAAGCTAATTTGAAGTACTGCCTGCTATTTTTCCCCCCTTTACAGAACAAACCCATGGATATAAATATCAAGGTTTGTACATTTTCTAGGGAACTTGCCCTTTCCTACCTATAAAGCCTATTTATGTTCCCAATTCTCTGAAGAATGTCTTCTAATTCATAGTGTGCTGGTTGAAAAGGGTTAAATTATTTTAAGTTTACCTATGCCTTGGACTTGAGCCTCTGCTGATCCCAAGCCAGAGGCACGAGCAGCTGCATGCTTTATTTACAATCCCTTTGTCAGACTTACAACTGCCTCAGGCTATAACATAGTGTACCTAATGTTCAAACTGGCAGGTAATCTTATGTCAAACATACTTCTTTGATTTAAAGTGATCAATAGATTCTTGTAAAGAGGTAATTTCTCTGATGTTTCCACCTTGCCTTTCTTACAGGTGATTCACACAAAAGCCTGCTTATATGATGTACAAACAATAAACAGAAAGCTATAATCATGTTTTTTCAGATGTTTCCGGTGCACAACGATTTTGGATCAATACCCTGTGTAATACAATTATCTGCAATGATCTGGTTGTATTGAAAAAGAATTTGCAGCAAACCTCTAGGGGGTTTTATCCAGAAACATGTGTCTAGCAATGTTGTGAATAGTGGAAGAGAAAATTAAGGGTTTGACACAAGCTGTCCATTATGTTCCAAATGACTTCATTAATATTTTATTTGCTAAAAATCATATCTTTCAAAACTTTACTGTAGGGGAGGATCTGTTATGCTAAAGGATGATAATGAGGCCATGTCCTTTCAATATTGACTATTTCCTGAAAAACACCTCTTAACATAGAATCCAGATGCTGGGCCTTTACATCTCAGGCAAAACCTATCGGAAGGAAATTATTGGCTGTGCCTGAGTGACTCTTTGAATGCTTGACAAAACAAAATGGGAAATTCTGTTTGTCCTCTGAATCTGTGTGGTTACCATGCATGTGAGAACAGCTCTTTGTCTTCAAAAGGATTCAAGCCATCAGTTTCTGAGCTACCACCTTTCGATACTGACAGTTGAGTAACATAAAGGCAATTTTAACCATCACACATGCTAAACATCATATGTTTGATAAATATGTGTCTGCACACATTTTATTTGATTTATAAATTCTGTAATAAGCAAATGTGCAAAGCTCTGTAAGCTGAAATGCCTCTCCTCCCAATATATATTTTTTCACACTATCCAATGGCGTGCAGAAACAAAGGAACACAGTTGTGTTTATTTCTATTTGATAAAGCTGCTTTCTCCAGCTCTAAATTCCCCCTAAAGCCAGACAGGGAACCTTTTGTGTTCATTTGATTACAGCAATCTTTTGTCCATATGATTGATATTTCTATTCTATTACGCAGTGCCAAATTCACAGTGCAGTAATATTACTATTTTCATATGTTATTACCTTGTCTTTTTGCATTGCTCTCCTGTACATCTTGCAGTTCAGTATTACCTGCTGAATCTCAGTTCCAAATCGGACGGCATTTTGTCTCCTGTTCTCTCTTTCTCTCTCTGAATATTTTCAGCTTCCTATCCATATTGTTAAAGACCTCCACCTCACACATTTTAGCTTTGATATTGTCTATTGCCTGCAAAAGAGCTGGGGCGCTCGAAAGCTCAATTCGATTGCATATTGCCTGTGAAAACAAAAACATTCCAAGAATATCTATACTGTTTATAAGGAAATTTTTCTTTCAATTTGCAGCCTGCTTTTTCCATCAGCAGGATAAAAAATGTATACCTTTTCTCATTAACAAAAAGGTCATGTTCTGACTTGTTCTATATGATCAAAAGTTCTACATTCTTTATATTAGCCCCTACCCCAAAGTTTGTGAAAGGAAATTTTTGCAATGAATGATTAATGCACTTTCTGTAACCTTCCGCAACACATATCCAGCTATTAAGAAAGTAACTGAATTTGAAAAAAGAGACTCCTAGCAGCTGGAAGTAAGACAAACTTCTATCATCCTATTATCTCCCCAATTAAAATGTTTTTATTATAAAGAAGTATCCCTGCATTGAAATTGTTACAAGATGCAAAGTATAGGATTTCAGAATTTCGTTGTTCTTAAACTAGCTGTTCTTATTATGCTTATATATCAGCACTGCCATTTTAAAGCATCTTTAACTTCTGAATATTCAGTTTATTTGAGAATATTGAAATGCAAATGAATAAACAGTTCTGAGGGATTGAAACGTTCATAAAAAAAGAATTTTCATATCACCCAGAAGAGAAAATTCACAAGCATCTGTGCTACGTTGGCTTAGTGCCACACCTTGATTCTCTATCATGCTCCATCATGCTTCTTTTAATCTGAATATTTAGTACTCTTTCATGTCTTAATTACAGCAAATTGCACACAGTTGGCACCATTTCTTGAAATTAATCCCAGAGTACTTTGTTTCTGTCAAGCACACTGAAAGCCTTGGAGAATAATAGTAAATGTTATTGCAGATCTAAATTTAAATGACTGTCTATGTATTTAACTTAAGCCTTTAATTATTCGTGCTGCACTGTTTTTGGTTCATATATTAAACATTTTTCATTGAGAATGTAAAATTGCAATAGACAGTTTAAAACCTGCAGATATGTCTAGATGTAAAGTTAACTTGACAATAATTATTTGTGCTAACATATTATTTCAGGTGTGCAAAGATTGGACAGCATATAATGTGCTGACAAGATTTCATTTCCCTTTTCATCATCAGTGATTTTTTTTTTAAAAAAAACCAAATAGGTCAGTTATATTTTTAAAAATATAACTGTTTTGTACTTGGATGTGTCTGTGTGTCTATGTGTATCTGTGCAGTATGTGTATCTGTGCATTTTTACATGGGGGTGTAAAAGATGCATTTCTGCATGAAAATCTTCTGTAAAATAGGGAGGTCTGCCTGCAGACAGTCAGAAAATACAGGTTTTGTCATGGTAGTCTAGATTTATCTTGTTTAACCACTGTTAGAAGAGCTGCTTTAACAAAATGGAAACGTATAGAATGGCTCTTAAGCTTCCACCACCTGCTTCACATATTATTATTTTTTGCAATTTTGAGGGGGGGGGGGTAAAGGAAAGTTGGATACCTGATTGTAAACACATACATCCTAAGTTATTAGATAGCACACATTTTTGTTTTCTTTTTGCTTTTAGAATTCACACACATGCAGGGATAGAAACAGAAAGAATATTGATACATTAAATGGTGCAGATCCAGGCTTCTTATACATTTGCTTGCATTTTAAAAGTGATTTCTGTTTTGCACATTTTTCTCATTGTCGGGACATGCTTGATCTTCCTTACTACAAAGTTTCTTGGCACCTGCAAAGTCTATTTCCAGCTGTGGCATCTGCCATTCTAGATGAGGACAACCCACATTCTATTTCTGGCAGAAGTTCCTGGATTTAGGTGTAGTGCTTCACTAGATTTTTCTATCTCAGTAACTTGTTTTGTGATCATGTATTTCTGGTGTCAGGATTTCAAACCTGTCATATCTGGTGCACAAGACTCCACTCGAGAAGCACTATAATGCCTTTTTACATTTTTTTTCAAATATTTTTTTAGCATCTATAGTAAGATTGCAATTAACTTCTATTATATCCTCAGACAAAAGAGATGTGGTGGCTCAGTGGCTAAGATGCCGAGCTTGTCAATCAGAAAGATTGGCAGTTCAGTGGTTCGAATCCCTAGTGCCGCATAATCCAGTGAGCTCCTGTTAGTTGTCCCAGCTTCTGCAAACCTAGCAGTTTGAAAGCACGTAAACATGCAAGTAGAAAAATAGGAACCACCTTTGGTGCGAAAGTTAACAATGTTTCATGCATCTTTGGCATTTAGTCATGCTGGCCACATGACCACGGAGACATCTTTGGACAGCGCTGGCTCTTTCGGCTTTGAAACAGAGATGAGCCCCCTAGAGTGGGAATGACTAGCACATATGTGCAAGGGGAACCTTTACCTTTTATATCCTCAGAGAATAATGTTAATACAATCTCAGAAGTTGAACCCTGCTGAAGTAGATTCTACAAATATATGCTTCTCTGCAAGTTTCACTTTAGCCATGTAGAGTTTTGGTTTAGAGTAGAAAATGACCCTGAAGAATCTGGCTTGCTTTTAACAGTGTATTGTCTCCGCCTCCCCCAAAAGGCAGGAGTTAAAGCACATGTGATAGACACAATTTGTAATTGCAAGGGGTTTCCCCACCCCCCACCCTCAAGTAAATCAAAGGTATTAGTGAAGAAAGTGCTTAACCCTTTTCCCGGTGTTATTTCCTCAGACTAAATGTGGATACAGACAGAAGACAAACTATTTGATTGAGGCTGCTTCCAGAGAAGGTTATTACAGCACAAGTGCTCTGAGTACTTTGCAGATATTCTGGCAGATGAAGAGTCAGATAATATCTACTCCATGTAATTCATTTTTTTTCTTATTCCAGTTAAGAAAGAATGCTGCACCATGGGTATTGATTAATATTGCTAATAGTTGTCAGTCTGACAAAGTTTTTCCCACTGTAAATCTAGTGGCAGCATCAATAGCTAATTTATGTTTTGAAAACTGCAGAAAGATTGGACTGAAGACTCATCTTCCAATACTGTTGCTAGATCATAGTCTTAAAAATTATTAATGAGAAGGGGAAAGAAGCCCTATCATGTGAGAGTCAGGTACAAATCACCTCTTTTCTATGAATTCATCTAAAGCCGAACAATTTATTCTGTGCATGTGGATTCCTGCAGTTTCAGTGTTGATGCTCTAATATCATTATATAAATAGATAATGATTTGCACTAAGAAAGGGTTTCTTGTAGAAATAGCATCCTTGTCATGCGTTAATATTATTCTTGTTTCTTTCAGTTCATCTTATCAGCTATCTGAATTTGGGCAACAGCCAGATAGGTCTTTTTCACCAACTGAGTTATCAGCTAACAGAGCCCGGGTGTCTGAATCCACATTTACAAAAGTGAGACACAGATGGTGAATGTTAAACCACTAATTTGCCAGTGTGCATTTCTTATGTTCATTTTTCACTTCCAAACAGTGAAATCCCACACAGGAAGACTAAGAACATATTATACTTTAGATAGCATACATGAGACACACGGAAAGAAGCAGCTGTATTTAAGAAGAAGAAAAAAGCTACCTTAGGCTTTAATGAAAAAAATACACCAGAAAAAAAATGTCCATTCTCACAGTGGCCTACCACACGCCAGTCAGAAGCAGTAGTTAACCCTAGTAGATCCTGATAGTCAAATAGTCCAAAAATTTATCTAATCATTATTTAAATCTAAGCTAGTTATTTTCATTGAATCCTTATTTGAATAACAAACAGTTATTCTTATACCATAAAAATTCAACACATGACATAGTTGTTCAGTAGAAACCACAATAATGCTGTGTGCCATGTAATTGCATAATTGATGGAAATTAAATAATTTGTGTACTTTGCATGACACATGTGACATCTCTTCCCTCCCTTTCGCCTCCTGTAGAGATATGGAGAAGAGCAATTAACTTTGCCCATCTTTATCCTTCTTCTAAACCCATAGAAGATGAACAATGGAATGTTCTAATTTGTCAGGATGCTCAGGGGACTGAATAGATCCACAGAACATGCTTTCACTACCAGTTTATTTTGTTTTTTTTAAAGAAGTCATAATTTTTTACTTATCTTTTCTGTTTTAATTAGTCCACATAATTTAATTCACCCCCACTAGCTTTTTATAATAAAAAATGATATGGATGCTACAAGTGCATGATTAATGATTAATGACAACAATCTGGAATTGTTTAAAACAAATTCACTGGGGAAAAGATTGTTGTATTTTGAAAAGGGAAGAGATGGGAACAAAAATTATGCTTTCTTCATTCCACATGTTATGACTTATACAGGAATATCTTAGAAAACTAAGTAATACAAAATATAGCAAGTAAAGTATTGACTGGGCCAAGTGCTAAAATAATATTATACCAATATTATACTGCTTTACCAGTTTACATTTTACCTCTAAGTCCACTCCAAAGTGAGGATATTAATAAAGTTCTAAATGGTTGTCTATCTCATTAGACTCAATTCTGTTTAGTTTCCAAGATGAGTTAATGTTGGCCAGGTCCTAAATGTACATGTATATAAAGGAACAAAAATCAACCAAACAATTTGTTTATTTGTTTTGTTTTGTTTTCCTACACCAAAAGTTGAGCTGGTGATAAATGGTAATAGCACAAGTGCTTTTTCACAGTGAAAAGCAAAACAGACTATACAGAAAGGGGAAAAAAATGCTCTTACTTTGTGTGCAAAGATTAATGGATTTTCTGCCCTCTGACAAGGTTTGTTAACAAGCCAAAGACATGTGTATGGGGAAGACTTCAAGACACTGTAAATAAAAAGATCAATGTGGAAATCAAGTTCCTTTCCAAAGATGTTAAGTTCTCTCTAAGGGCATTCTGCAAGGGCCACCAATACAGCTAATTTCAGAATTTTGTTATGCTTGGCTCTTTCACACTTCTTATCCCTTCTATAATGTACAAGTGGTGTTGCTTCCTGCCCTCCCTCTTAAAATGAACATTGAATAATAATATGCTTGCATATACCTAACATTTGTGAGGGAAAACATGG